AGCGGACCATCCTTTTTATTCAACCACAAGGACTGGCACTAAAGAAGACTCTACTGTTTGATTTTTTTTTTCACCGTGTTTATTTTTCCCCTATTCACTGGGGTACTTGGATAAAATAAACAACAAGACAATTAAGGGAACATGGACTTCTAACTTTCCTGCCATCTTCCCTATCCCCTTGGCCTTGGGCTCTTGAGTTCATGCCCAGGGCCAGAGTAGGCCTGAGGGGGTAACCTATGCCCCATGCTAGGGAGAAACAAGTGTGGGGGGCTTCAAGAGACTTCTGGGATGGAGGAGCAGAATGGGCTGTTCTGGGGGCCAGAGTGGAAATGTCCCAAAGGCACAGTCTGAACTCCCCAGACTCATCCAGGGTGCCCTCTCCACAAGTCCCCTTCAAATTCAGGCCTCCACTCTGCTCAAACTGCAGAGATGCTTTGCACAAAATCCAGCTGGGGATGCTCATTTGTTAAGCTTCTGAGATTGCCTAAAGTTATTTACTCTTGACCCTGGAGCTTCTTTGGGGCGCAGTCAGGACGCGTGGAGTCCGGCTCACCCTTTCCTGAATGCGGCCCAGGCACCAAAGCGACCCCTCCTCCCCAGAGGAGTGCAGGGTGAACCCCTAAAGGCGGGCGAGGCTGGTCCCAAAGAGGAAGTATATACTGGAGAACGCAGTGACAGTATTAAATGGCGTGAAAGCAAAGGTCAGCGCAAATGTATCTTAATAGAGTGTCTGCAGTGAAGTGTGCCGCCTTTGAAGCGGCCGCTCCCCGCGCGCATTTCCATGGCGAGCCTAACGCGGCATGCTGATGCACCGTCAAACTCACACTTTCAACCCCAAAACCCGACTCTTTGAACAACCCGAGCTTGATTAGACCTTTCTCCTTTTCTTTCCCCTCTTACAAACCATTTCCTCGCCTTTAGAAACTCGCCATCAAACCCAAATGCGCCCTCTGATCACCGCAGAAAGCAGAAACAAAGGGGGCTGAGCGGCGATTCAAGCGGCCCTTTTCTTCCCTCACATTATTATCCATTTTTATTATGATCGGGAACAAGTGCCCATTCGCGTGGGTTTTGTTTACCGGAAATTAAATGAAAATGATTTAGTCCGCGTCAAACAAAAATATATACTTGTATACACAAGAAAAAAGGCCTGTTAGACGTAAATATTATGTCCTTAATGAAAAGCCTGGACGGGCTCCAGGCTCGGCCTTTCAGGATTTCAGTGCAACTTGCCCATTGCCATAGAAATCCTAACTTACCATGAAGATGCACCGTGGCGAAGAAACATTGCTTTGTGCGCGGACCCTTTGATGTCGCAGGCGCTAGATGCGGGCGCTCAGCTGCGTTGGGCGAGATTACCTTGCGAGCAACGCGGTGGACATCTGTAACAAGCAAATGAAAAATTAAAGGCTATTAGTGGCCGACCAAGCATTTTTATTTTATTTCACTGTTTTGCGATCGGAGTGGAAGGCAAACCGGGGCCTGGAAGAGAAGAGGAAGAAATGAGTCCTATTTGGAGAGGGGAGAATTTTTAAACGTCAGAAGAAGCAAGTTCCTCAGATGCCCTCTGCACCTTGCGGTGGGGCGGGTGTTTCCCGATGGGAACCGGTTGTTTGCCGCAGACCGCGGCCCTGGGCCAGGCGGCCTCTGGACCCTATTGTACGGCGAGGGGGCTGGGGGAGGGGACTGCAGTACCACTTCCACAGGAATGTATACACCAAGGACGTGTTCGGACCGATTCTGGGTTTTATTAGGGGTAACGAAAACAATCCCACTACAGTTAGGACATTATTTATCTGATGAAAGGGTGGGGCTGCAGGGCCGGAGTGAGAATTGTCTAATAGTATCCGAAGAGAAGAGTGTGGAAGAAAATCCAGCAGAGTGGCAGGACCAGGACTTGTTTGTTGGCCAGTCTTGGTGGCTCCCCATAGGTGGGACTACCACAGCCCTACGTATGGCTAAATTCTTAAGGGATTGGGATAGGCCTACTCCAGCTTTTTCACCCTCCTTTTTCTTTCTGTCCTCCACTCCACCCTCATGTTAGTAAGGATTTGGGGGCAGCCCCATCCTCCCCGCAGAGGGTAGGAGACTGGGAAACAGGCCAATTTCTCCCCTGCTTGGCAACAACTGCAAAGACTTTCCTCTCCTCTGCCCCCAATATCTGGTTCTCTATCTGGGGACTTGGTACCCAGTATCTCGAATACACATTCTATCTAGATCCACTGGGTGTTTGCCTCTAAAACATTTATTACTGTAGTTCATCTCTCTCGTCTACTCCCCACCACACACACGCAGCTTTTTAGAAAGAAGACCAACAATCCTGAGATTTTTTTTTTACAAAGATCATCAGAGAATTGACGTGATCCATCCAGACACTGTGGCCTAGGCCAGATCCCTTCACTTTGGAGGCCTTGGCTCAGTGACGTCATTGGCCCATTCTGCACCCCCAGCGCCAAGCACCCACAAGATTCCACAGGCAGCGCCTCTATAAGCGGTGGGGGTGGGGGTGGGGGTGGGGGGTATGGGGTAATTGGTCCCGGGAGGCTTCAGAGTATAGAATCCTGGAGCCCCTCCAGCGCTCTTTTGTCTGCATTTTCTGTTGTTAGGACTCACACCCTACCCCAAGCATATAACGCTTACGTGGCAGGCAGACAGGCAGACCGATATATTTGTGTGCTTGGCCCAGTCTGTGGGAGAGTGGCATGTGATGCTCGACGTTAGGTGCTTAAAGCCCTTTCCCTTTCATCTCCTTTGTATCAATAGTTGGGAAATTTAGGATCTGGGACTTGTGCATTGTTTCAAAGGATAGCTGAAAGAGGGGGAAATGTAGGGGGGCAAAGTGGAAGGAAAGAGGCAAGACAAGGGCTCAGGAATTCCCTCTGCCACCTTCTGCGATCAGAACTTCGGAGGAGGCTGCGAATGGGGGCTCGGAAGGGAGTAGGGGGGCTACCGAGCTGCCCAGGCCTCGAGGAAAACATTCTCCTGGTTCACTCATTCTGTGAATTTTGTGGCCTTAATGTCACCGTCTGCAGCTGCCAAGTTTGCACAGAAACTCTCCTAATGTGTATTCTTCTGTCCTTCTGCCTGTCTCTGGCTGTACCTTCTCTACCCAAACACTGGTGCCATGCTCCCCAGTCACGAGGGCGTCTGTGTGGGTGGGGGTGGGTGGGTGGGTGGGTGGAGGGTGCTGGGCGTGATTGTACAATGTGGGGACCACGTTCGCATGTTAAAATAAGGGGCGTTATATCAGCACCTTAAAGGAGCTCGACCCTTCAGGGGTTGCCTCCCTCCCTCCGTGCCTCCCTCGCCCTCTCGTCAGGCCTCAGTAACCCCGCCTAGCCTAGCCGAGCAGCCAGGGGACCGGAAGCGGCCACCGCAGCGGCAACCCTAACGGCGGCGGCGGCGGCGGCGGCGGCGGCGGCGGGGCCAGGTGGCGGCCGGGGGCCCGGGGCGCGGCGGGGGCAGCCGCGGCGGGGCCCGCGCCCTGACACACGTACCATTCGCTCAGGTCGGCGCCGCGCGCCACCGCCGCCGCCGAGGAGGCCGCCGCGGGCTCGCGGCCGAGGTCCGACGAGGGCGACACGAGGGTGGACGGCGTGGCCGAGTCGTAGCCGGAGCTGGGCGGCGGCGGGGAGCGCCCGTGCACCTTCATGTGCTTACGCAGCGAGCTGGGGTGCGTGTAGCACTTGTCGCAGCCGCGCACTTTGCACGTGTAGGGCTTGTCGCTCGTGTGCACGTGCGAGTGCTTCTTGCGGTCGCTGCTGTTGGCGAAGCGCCGCTCGCAGCCCTCGAACTCGCACCTGAAGGGCTTCTCCCCTGGTGGAGGCAACGCAGAGACATTAGTGTACGCGGGGCGGGTCGTGGCCCCGGCGGGGCCTCACCGCCCTAAGCAATTTCTCTCTCTCTCTCTCTCTTTCTCTTTTTTTTTTTGGTTAGAGACGCAAAGAAGGTTTGCCGGAACCCCTTGCCTTTCGGCGTCTCAGCACCAGCACCCCCTGCTCCCGCCCCGAGCGGCCCCGGCCTCCGGCGCGCCTCCTCCCCTCCCCCTCTCCCGCCGGGCCCGGGGGGGGGGGAAGGGGGAGGGGGAAGGGGGAGGGCGCGGGGGAGGAGCGACAAGGACTCCATCTTAGTCGAGTTTCCGTCCTGACCCACTCTGGTTGTTTTCCTCCAAATTTCCTCCACTAGGAGCCAGACGCACCCCTGCCCGGGAAGGGAGCTGACCGAGGAGCTGGCGTCGGCTCGATTGAAAGTTGCTGGTTCTAGCCACGCGTCTCTCTGCCCTCGCCTGCGCGCGTGCACACACTCGCACACACCCGCGCGCACACACACCCCACCACGGCCAAAATTGTTCCCTAAAGTAGGTTTTGTGTAAACGCCGAGGCGGTGGAATGGTTTCAAGATGCGCCACCGATGCACACGCGGCGTGTGCGTCATGTGCATTCGTGCTGCAGGGAAAGGTACTCTGAGCAATGATCCACTTCAGACGCGATTTTTTTTTACGGAAAGCGGAGCCCCCTCCCCCTTCCCTTCGACCCCCTGAGGGCAAACATTTAGCGGCATCCTTCGAATCCTGCCGAAACCGTCCGGGCTCCCTCCAGTTCCGCGCGCCGGCGATAGTATCCCACGCGGCTCCCCCGGCGGCCTCCCGAGACGCCGCGGCGGGCAGCCGGCTCCCCCGGCCCGCGCTGAGCGCAGAGGTGCGGTCGCCTCCCGCTCGGGCCTCGCAGGCCGCAGCCGGGGGGGGGGGGGGGGGGCGGGCGCCGGGCGCCGCGGGGTTGGCCCGCGCCCTGCGCGATCCGAGGCCTCGCGCGCAATCGCGCTCCCGAGCTCCGCGGCTCCGCGGGGAGCGCAGCTGCCGAGAGGCGGCCGGGCCCGGAGCACGAGCGGGCGGCCGCGTAGAGCCGCGCAGGGCTCGGATCCGCCGTGCGGGGCCCCGTGGAGCCGCGGCGAGGCGCGAGCGCGCGGTCGGGCGGAAGCACTCGCCGAGGACCGAGCCCGAGCCCCGAGCCCCGAGCCCGAGCCCGGAGCTCGCCGGCGGCTGGCTTCGCTGCAGTGTGGGGGTGGAGAGGACCCCAAGCACCCAGAAGCCCAGGTTCCTGCCGGAGCTGCAGATGGAAAGGTGGGGAGGCAGGGTCTAGGCGTCTTGAACCGACGGATGCCACTGGGCGCCCTAGGTTGAGAGAAAGGCTGCCGGGCGTCCGGCTAAGAAAGAGCGGCATGGCTGGAGGACTGTTGCCTTTGTGGTCGCTTCTCCCGCCGCTTCCAGGAAAGACGGGTGCTTTGGGACAGGTTTGAACAAACAAAGCCCCTGTTCCTGCGCCGAGCTGAAGCTCAGGCGGCGTCAGAGTTCTGCGCACAGCCCTCGCCTCCGTGCAGCTGCGGATGGGGAGCCCAGGGTTCTGGCAGCGACCGTCGCCGCGTCCTGCTCCTGCAGGACTACCGCTAGTGCAGTGCGACACGGGGCGGTGCTGGCATCTGCCATTTCTCGGCACACCGGCACCATTTTATTAAAAACAAAAACAAGAAAGCTGCAGAAAACACCAGTGTCCCTGTTGGCCCCCTTGTTTTTCTCCCCTCTGATCCCTGTGGGCAGCTGCAAAAAAACTAAAACTTTTTCTTCCTCCCTTCCTTCTTTTCTTTCTAAGATCATTTACGAGAACCATGCAATTCAGGGCCTGCAAAAGAAAACAAGATTTACTGAGAGCGCAGAGGAGGAATAGAATTTGAGGTTGATTGCCACCGCCACCCCCCCCCCAAGTATTCCCCACACACTTATCCCATTTGCGAGCACCTCGTTGGACATTCCCGTAAAACTGAAACAATGATTTCATCCCAGACCAGGAGCAGAGGGGAAAAAGCAGGGCACTGAAGGTGATTCAGGCAGCCTGGAAGTTCGGAGGCCCCAGGGATGCCAGGTGAGGCCGCGCCTCCCCCCCCCACCACCACCCGCGCCCTCCCGGCCTCTCCCCAGCTGCTGCTCCCCGGACTCCTCGCCTAACGCCGCGCCCTCACCCCCACACCCCCACCCCACCCCCCAAACGCTGCCTCCCGCCCCCTCCCTGCCCACCGGGTCGGGCGCTGCGCCCTGGGTGGGTGGATGGGTGGGTGGGGAGAGGCAGGGTTGGGCCAGGGCCCCGCGGCCCCTCCGCAGCGGCCTGGGCCTGGGGCTAAGTCCTGGAGGGCGCGGAGTCTCCTCCCAGAGGCTCAGCGGCCCGGAGAGGCCTCCTCCCCGGCCCTGCGCCAGGCTCGCCTGGCAAAGTTCGGGAGCTGCGGCGCAGTTCGGTCGCGCCATTTTCTGGCACTTGTGGCTGGGCCGGGTCACCGAGCGTCAGCGCCCCGGCCCCCGTCTACACCGCCCGGGAAGGTGGGGCGAGCCCCCAGCCGGGGGCCTCGGGAAGGGGGGCAGGCGCGGGGCCCGCGTCCCCCTCGCGGCCGCCCCATTGTCCCGGGATCGCGGGCGCTGGCGCCGAGGGAGCCCCTTCGGCGGGGCCGGGGGCAGCTGCGTGCCAGGCCCGGCCCGGGATTCCGATCCGGGAAATCTCAACTCCGGGGAAATCGGCTCCTGTTCGCCGCTTCCGCGACTCGAGGAAATGAAAGGCCATTAATATTTGAAAAGGCAATTATTTTCCTGTTGAATCGAGAACTGTCTTCATGAATAATTTGTAGTGAGGTCTATTGCCATTTGAGAAACATTTTGGTTTTTTGTTTTGTTTTTGTTTTTCTCTGTCTCTCTTTTCATTACTTAGGAGGGGGGTTTGAAGGAAAAGCCGGAGCAGGCGAGGCTCAGTCGATTTTTTTTTTTTAAACTCCAGCGATAATGAATCAGGACTGCCAGTGGAAAGGACGCGCTTGCAATTCTGTCCTGAATAGACGCAAACCTGAGCCAGCACGGGCGCACTGAACTTGCTTCTCTGCTGTAGGTCGATTGCACTAAGAATTTAACCATTTTCTGCTTCATGGACTTCAAACAGTAGGCCGGCAAAGAGCAGTAAAAGTTTGTTTGTTTAAAAAACCCCTGTCATTAAAAATGAGTTCCTTCTCTGGCTCAGGACTGCGCGTCTATCTTCGCAGTACAGGCCGTCAGCTCCTGGGGCAGCGAGCCTGTGGGAGGTGATCAGGGCCTCCCTTCTCCTCCCCTCCCCCGGGATAAAACCCTGAGGGCGGGAAGGGGGAACAAATGCTTGAGGGGGTGGGGGGAGGATATCGGAAACAGTTCGGGGAAGACTACGTGTCTAGATATGCCACGGAAATAAAGTAGGAGACCAAGAGTGGAGTTTGGTCTGGACTTCGCCTGTGCCAGTGTCCTGGCCAGGGACCTTCCCGGAGAGATTGCAGGGTTTGGGGGAGAGAACGGGATTTGCAAATTTCTTTCTGTGGCAGCGCCAGCCTGGGGGAGTCTTTTGACTCTTAACACTTGCTGATATTTCCACTAAGAATAGAGGTGAGTGAGGTAGAGCGCCAAGAGAGTAAGAGAAGTAAGGCACCAAGCTGGAACTTATCTTCTTCTCTCCCTACTAGCCCCCTTCTCCTATCCCCAAAGTAGGGGAGGAGAGATGTTGACTGCTTAAACTTCCAGGGAGTTTGGGCAGGAAACCCTAGCTAGGGAGAGTACAAACGTCGACTGCTAAACTAATTAATGTAACTTCACAGGCTGTTCTGGGAAGTGTGAAAACTTTCTCCTTGCAATTGCATTAATTAGAGATGCTTCTGGCCAGAGGAGTTCAACTTTGCATGCTCTTGAGCGGGCTCCTTTTCTTTCTGTTAACTAGAACTAACAGATGTGGTTGACACATGTCCCCATTTCACTTAACAGCTCGGTAAATGACATTTAAGGCAGATGAGTCTCCTTGGGTCTCTGCTAAAGCAAAAGGGTTTGTCAAAAGTCCCAAGTGTCAGGTCACCAAGGCTCCAGAAACGAGAGCAAAGTTATCCCACGAGACCCTAAATCCTAAAGAAGGCACAAAGGGCCTGATGACCCCTCAGTTCAGGTGGTGGCCAGGTTGTCACGCCCTCCCCTGGAAGAGTACTTTCACCAGGATTCCAAGAAGACCAGGAAAATTAGATGGTCGTATATATTACGACTTTGGGGGGGAACAGTGCCATTTTAAAACCTGAAAATCAAACTCGATGATCAGGGTATACACATTTGCACACGCAGACACCCAAGCACGTTCGTTCACACTCTCCCCCTCCCCAAGAGCAGAAATCCCGCACTATCCTCCCCACACAAAGCCTCAGGAAACTTCTGTGACTCTAATAGAAGGGCATAATTAATATTTTATGGACTTGGCTCATGGAAACACCGAGATATCCCCCCCTCCTCCCAGATGGAACTTGAGGAAATCCAGCCCCGAGGGCCCAGAAGAGGCCGCCTGCTTCCCCCAGAGGGTCCGCACGAGACAGACAGTGCCGAATACTGACCTGTGTGAGTTCTTTTGTGTATTTTGAGATTTTCTGATCTAGCAAAGACCTTCCCACACCCCGGGAAAGGACAGGGGAAGGGCTTCTCGCCCGTGTGCACGCGGATATGATTTACAAGTTTGTATTTGGCTTTAAAGGGCTTGCCCTGGCGCGGACACTCCTCCCAGAAGCAGATGTGGTTGGCCTGCTCCGGGCCGCCGACGTGTTCCACGGTGACGTGCGTGACCAGCTCGTGCATGGTGCTGAAAGTTTTGGAGCAGAGGCGCGGGGGCGCGGGGCTATCCGCCGCCAGCCACTTGCAGATGAGCTCCTGTTTGATCGGCTGGCGCATGTAGCGGAAGAAGGCGCCGGGACCGTGGGGCGCGGCGAGGTTCACGGTCAGGTTCATGCCCCCGTAGCCGTGCAGGGCCGCGGCAGCTGCCAGGGCGTCGCTGCGGGCCACGGGTCCCGGCGCAAAGGGCTCAGGTCGCGCGTACATGTCTCCAGGGAGCCCCAGACGCAGGAGTCCGTTCAAAGTGCCACTGGGGGAGGCCTGGGGCGGCTGCTCTTGAAGGCCCGGGAACACCGAGGGGCTGGAGGCGGCAGCAAGCTGGGGGCCATGGTGTCCGGAGCTGCTACCTGTTGTCGAGACAAATAGCGCGCGTGAGGACAGGCGGCGTGGGCTGAGCATTCCACCAGGCCCCGGGGGGCAGGCCCAGCCCAGCCACACCACGGCCTCTGCCGTCAGCACCGGGACCGGGAGCCAGACGGGAGCCAGACAGAGGCGGCAGCGAACCGGGTGGCCAGCGCGGAGCCAAGTGCCTCCGCTGCGGGCCGGCTGCGCGGCCGTTGGGCAGAGCCCCCTGCCGCTCCGCGAGCGGGCGACCGACCGAGGCTGCGGGGCAGGTGGAAGGGGCAGGGGGTGCGCAGGGCTGAGTCTGTGGATTTCTGGGGGGCCTTGGGCTCTGCTCCGGGGGATCCGACCTGCGCCCCAAGCGTGCTTGGGAAGCCAGCTCCCTGGGGCGCTCGGGGTCGCGGAGCCCCGCCGGGGGGTGGAGGTGAGGCAAGCGGTGATGCCTTAGGGGCCGGTGGTGCGGGGGCGCCCGGGTCATGTATACGAATTTAAGCGCCCGGCTCGGCTCGGGGAGCGCGGCCTGCAGGCCCCCGTCCCGGGCTCCCCGGACCTCCCTAGGTCAGGCCGCTCACACCAGTCACCTGACGGCGGGGAGGGGAAAGAACCACCACCAAAAAACAAAAACAAAAACAAAACAACTTATGCAAAGTCTTTTTTTTTTTTTTTGATTCCTTCAAGTTTCGGGTTGTCTCCCCCCCCCCCCCCCGGTCTCTAATGCCTACTGGAAACCCCGTGCACTACTGAGGTAGCAGCGGGACGCGTGAGGAAGTGAATAGAGACTCGGGGCCGCGGCCCGGGCCCGCGGAGAGGAACAATCACCTAGGTCGCCTATTGGCCCGCAGCCTGGCCCGACGTCAGCAATGACAGGTCCCGCCGCACGCGGATACACACACAGACACACACACGTTCCCTCCTGCTCCCGCGCCTTCACCCCGCCCCGCCCCGCCCCGCCCTACCCCCAGCGTCTCTCGCTTCCACTGCTCATGCGCTCTGACCCGGGCACCGATTCTTTTCTCTCCTCTCGAGCCCCCTCCCCCTCCTTTCTCGAAAGCCGAGCGGAGCCGCTCTGCCTGGCTGCTCCGGGAAGCGAGCGGGGCCGGGCTCCGTCTCCTTGAGCCGCGACTTCGGGGAGGGGGTGTTGCGCTGGGCGCCAAGGGCCCCCGTTATTAGCTGGGCAGATCCAGCCGCGCCGGGGCCGACGGGCAGCGCGGGGCGCGCGGGGGTGGAGGCCTGCGCGGGCAGCGCGGCCCGGGAGCCGCAGGAGGCGGGGGCCTGTTTCCAGGGGCTGCAGACTCTCCGACCCGGACCGGAGGAACTCCTGGGCTAGCAGCCCTTGAGCTGGATTTTCTCGCTTTCGCCGAATTTTGTGTGTGTGCGCGCCACTCATCTCTCTCCCTCTCCCTCTCATTTCCTTGGATTCTTTATTCCTTCTTTCCCTTTCCCCACTCCCTACTCTATTCTTTCCATTTGGCCTTGCCAGCGCCCCCCCCCCCCCCCCGTCCCCAAGGGCCAGCCGCCCTCGGAGACGCGTGAACCCAGGAGCCAGAGGTGGTGATGACCTGAGAGAGGCTGGCCTCGAACCCAAGCCACCCTCCGGAGAGGAGCTGAGAATCTTCTCCGCCACAAATCAGTCCGCCTCGCCGGCCCGTTGGCCAAAGAAACAAAGGCGAGGGGCAGGCTGCAGGGGGAAACAGGCCCCCCCTCACCCCGGGGTCTCCCCGTGTCACGGTCTTGAGCTCCGTACCCTGCAGCCAAACGGAGCCTCTGGGAAAGGGCCCTGGGAGCACTTCCACTCTCAGCTCTCACCACTTGTTGCCTGTGGCCGGAGCCTCTGCCTCTCTCCTCGCCAGCCTTCAGGGCTCTGGGGAGAGGGGACGCCAAGGTCCCCCACCCAGGCTGTGCGACGGACTGCGGCCCCACCATGGCCTGCTGTCCCGGGACGCCCTCCCGGGCTGAGGTTCCACCGTTTTGGGGTGGGGGTCGGCCGGCGGGAAAAAAAAAAAAACATAACAAAACAAACCTTTCAGTTTGGGCCTGGTCTAGCAGTGCACAAACGGAGGTGGGCGGGGGTGGGGGGTCCTTTGTTTGTGCCTCCGACCGGCTAGGGCCGGCTGCACAGCTTGGCGATTTAAAGGGCTGCTCGCCCTGACGCCTGCCTTGCTCTCTGCAGCCAAAAATGCCAACTTAAGTACTTGGGCCTCCCTAGAGGCCATAGAAAGCGACTCCAAAGCAAAGAAAGGTTTGGATTTTTAAGAGAAGTTTTAAGGATTGAGTAAAAGACCCTGCATCCCTAGCAGAGGTGAGAAGTTTGGACAGATTGCAAGGAACTCTGACTCGGAGTTGATTGAGCTGCCCCACCCATTCCCAGCACCAAGAACTATTCTTATACATTTCCTAGGCAGTAAAAGGGGGTTTCTTTTAAAATTTTTTAAAATAATTAACTTATTTATAATGGTTGGCAGATTCTTTGAGACTTTCTTCATTTAATGCTTTGTTCCCTGCTCGGGTGCATTTTAGCGAGGGATTAACTTCCACAATTTCCCTCGGCTTTGACAAGTCCAGGTCTTTCTGCTCCTCTGGCTGGCCGGAAGAGCTTAAGCAACGCAACCAATAGATGCTGCGTTAGCATTGAAAGAAAGAAAGAAAGAAAGAAAGAAAGAAAGAAAGAAAGAAAGAAAGAAAGAAAGAAAGAAAGAAAAGAAAGAAAAAGAAAGAAGACAAAAGAAAAAGTTGAAGGAGAGCTTTTGACAGCCAAATCCCTTCTGCTCTGGAAACCAAGGACTTCTACTTAGTGTTGAGACTAGACTTTGAGGATTTGTCTCCTTCCTGGCTTTTACCTTCTCCCATACTCTCATTTTCTGGGATTTACCTTTCTGCTCACAGAAGCCTCCTCTCCTGTCCTCTGCCCTGTTTTCCCTTCCTCAAAGTGATGGCCAGGCTGGGTCTCAGAGTGGTTTCAAGGCCGCCCTCCCCCCCAGGTGTCTGTTGAATGTTGCAGTTGCCTAGGCAA